ACCCACCCACCCCCACCCACCCACCCACCCCCACCCACCCACCCACCCACCCACCCACTCGCACCCACCCATCACTCTAAACTAAGCAACCCTCAACCAACCGCCAAAAAATCCTTTCGACCCTGAGCCAACCCTCAACCCACAACCACCCCGCACAAAACGGCGGCTTGCCATGACCATGGGTGGGGGACCTAGAGCCTGGAACAGATGTTACATCCATAACGGATGTTACATGCCATAGCAGATGCATACACTTATATTTGCATATGTATTCCCTCGGGGTTCCGCGAGGCGAGAGCACGGAGCTGGCGCCGGGCCAGCAGCTGGCGGTCACCGTCCATGGTGTGCTGCACTTGGCGGAGATGCAGAGCCAGGCCGCTGGAACCGTTTGGGAGTTGGGTGTGGGTTCCTTGTTTTTGGTTAGTTGGTTTTCAAGTGTTTTATTCGGTGTTGGTTGGTTGGTTGGCTAGGCTGGCTGGTTGGTTATGGCTGGTTATGGCTGGTTATGGCTGGTTGTGGCTGGTTCTGGCTGGTTCTGGCTGGTTCTGGCTGGTTAAGGTTGGTTGGTTAAGGTTGGTTGGTAAAGGTTGGTGAAGGTTGGTGAAGGTTGGTTGGCGGGCCAAGTAAGCTCTCAAATGGTTCGGAACAGCTTTCAGGGAGTTCAGGAGGGTTGCAGGGAGTTGGGGATGTTGGGGGCATCACCTGGTCTGGTCGCTTCAAAGGACACGGTTGCCATTTTAGGGACAGTTGAGCAATTCTCACCTCGATAGTCCCGCCTGCTACTGGACTGCTCAATCCCTGCAAATTCACCTTTGGAGAGCGCCTAGACTTGGGTCTTCTGGCAGCCTTTCAGGTTTAGTTCTGTTGTTTTTGACCACCGTTTGGTTGGAAACCGAACATCTGGGCAAATTGTATCAAGCTTAGCGCCAACCGAGCTCACCCAAGATAATGGCCTCTTGCCTAGTTTTTCCTTTTGTCAGGTCTGTGAGCTATAGCCAATTGCCCAGATAAACATGGAACACACCAGGGAAGCCAAAAGGAAACCAATCATGGAAGCCAAAAGGAAACCAATCATTTTTCGGGGGTCCCCCCCAAAGAGACACACCCAGCTGAAAAAACGAAGCGTCTGTTCCGGGGCCACCTCTAGGAGGGCGAGGAGATCGAGGTGCGGCTGCTGGGGCGAATCCTGGAGAGCCAAGATGCGGAGGCGTCTCCGATGTGGGCGTCTGGTGTTCGGTTAGCCCCTGGGTTTAGACGCAGGTCAATTTTGGGGTGCTGAATTCAGGAGCCCCCAGGTTTAAGTTAATTTTTGGGTAAACCCAACAAAATGGAACGAGGCAAGCAGCACGGTCGCAGCTGGTCCCTCCCGTTGTTGAACAAACGGCAAAAGATGTGAGTGTGTGGATTTATTGGGGAATGGAACTGCAACAGCCTGCGCTCGCAATGCTTGAGCTTTGGGTGTTTCCATTCTTTTGATTTGGACTCCTGTTCATGGAGGCCCAACAAGGAGGCCCAATGTGTGCTCCCTGCCTGCAGTGAAAGCGGGATGGCCCGACTGGTCTTGCTTGGGCTACTGTGATGTGTCGCTCATCCTGAAAGTGGGCCTTATGGTCTGCTTGAGTCCTTTAGAGCCAGCTGGACTGCTGTTCACGCGGGTCCAACAAAGACGCCAAATGCTTGCTCAAGCTCGATATTATATGGTGGCCTGCAGTGTTTTTCTTTTAAAGCCACCAAACAGGGGCTACCCACACAGAAGTTACAGGCTTGGAGTGGTTCAAATGGTTTATAAGCACAAGCTTGTCCCCGTGACTTTCAGTCGGCCAGCGACATCGCTGTATCCAGACCCCTCAACTTTCGGCCTCCAAATTGATGTTGGCAACGGGCTTCTCACCCGTGCCCTGGCACGACTCGGCGAATTTCGTTGCAACTATTCGGCGTTTTTTTGCGACTGAGGATGGCGCAGAGGACTTCGCAGTAGAGCCGCTGTCGGAAGAGGTGGTGGGGGCCTTGATTTTGGGCAGCCCAGAAGCATTTGTCTCCCTTTCCCTCCCTCTGTCTCTATCTTTTTTCCGTGTTGTTCTTTCCATGAGGTTCAGTCAAAACTTGTGCTAGTTCTTTTGTGCTTCGGGGACATGGTGGGAGTCACTATATCTTCCACCCAATGTGTCAGCCATGTCCCCGAAGCCGGGAAGCTCCAAACGAGCCTGAGCCGTCTCAATCTTCCTTCAAGCACCTGGTGGTGCATGCCAGAACCAGGGGCAATGATGCCTCTTGGCAAGCCTGAGCAAGACATTTTGACACGATGTTTGGGAATTGGTGCCACTTGCAACCCTGACTCCAGCAAGGGCAATATCCAGTAGTTTCGAACGCATTTGGTTGGTAAGACGACGTGGAGAGTTAGCATATATATATATATACACATACATGTACATCAATTGAGCACATGAAAGCACAGCCACGTCGTTGTGGAGAAGGATTCAAGAGTGCCAATGGATATGTTGTCAGACTGGCAGCCGCCATAACCATTTCTTGAGCCTGAAGTTTTTATACAAGAGTCCCTCATCCCAACAGCGTCACAACCTGACCACCTATTGCAGAGGCTGAACTATAGGAATGCTCCCAGCTTGGCCACCCTGATCTTACAAGGGCTCTGCCGACAATCAAAACCATTGGTGCACAATTTCGCCTTCCTCTTAGAAAGGGTGCTATTACTCTCGAACCATTCGCCACATTGGTTCTGCCGTGTGGCCCCAAATCAAACGAAACCGGGTCCGGCAGGTCGCTTCCGCCCGCGCCAGCGACGTGCTCTGGGCCTTGGACGACACCGGAAGCGCTGGAAGCGGCCGGGGGGCGCTGGGCCGGTCGCCGCGACCGGCCCTGCATTTGCTTCGGACTGCAGACCTGGCGAGGGTGGAGGACGTTCCTGCACCTTCGTTGCCCCACCAAAATGGCACAAGTGGGAACCGACAAAACAGAGGCCAGAAAACACGCTACCATAACAATGACACAAGATAAACTAAGAGGTTAATTTAAGTCCTGGTGGTTTCTGACTCGGCGAAGCTTACGTTAGATATTCCGAACATGCTTACCTGAAAAGCAACGCAAGCTCAGTGAATGCGCTTTTTTCTCTTGGTCGTTCTGCGTGGTTGGGGGCTTAGGATTCCTCAATGGGCGGCCGGTTTTGCATTGGGTAGCAACTGTGCTTTTTTTCCAGTCACGTTAGACGGGCGAGGAGAGTTTTTGAGGGTGCCCTTTACACCTTGGTTTAGAGGGAAACCAAATGGAGAACGACAATTTTAGGGGTCCCCTATTTTCACGCACACCTAGGATGTTGGACAGCTTTCCCTTGACGGCTCATAGCTCCGAGGGCATCAGACTGCAAAGAAGTAGAAGCAGAAGAAGAAGAAGAAGAAGAAGAAGAAGAAGAAGAAGAAACATAGGAAGAACCATCCAGCTCGCCTTAGTTCTCCATAATCATGAGATACCTTTGTACTCGGGTATTTTGAAACAAGGTAAGGATTGTGGATCTTTGGAGGGGGCGACACATTTGACAGTACTTTGGCTGCTAAATTTCCAGCCCTACAAAGGGTGCCCTCGAAAAATATCACATCGTCAAGTAGGGCCAAGTAGGGGCAGGCTAAATTGACAAGCTATGCTAGCCTTGCCAGGAGGAGAAGCGGCAAGAAGTCCAGCGCCGCAATGCTGCCCGGAGTTGAGTTGAGAACCCATTTTTTTGGGATTTGTCTAGGTCTAGTTCTGCGGATGGGCATCTATGAAATTCTGGTATAAATCTCTTACAAACTGGGGCAGGATTTTGTTCATCCACAGTATGGCCAAGGATTCAGCTATTTGCAAGGGGACTGCAAATCTTGATGCAAGTGTTGCACCCCACGTTACACACCTTGCGAAGACTGGATTGCGCTTGGCAAAGGGCACGACTGGCGCGTTGGCATTTGTGAGCTGCATGGATGGACAGAGGCTCGCTTAGGATTGGAGACGGAAAGACCGTAATGGGATCTCTAATGAGCTGTGCTGATTTTTGTCCTGGACGTATATGACCTTCCACAGAAATCAAGAAGCCACCAAGTCGCGATTTGATAAATTAGCCCGGGCGAGGAAGCGCTGCTGCAAGACATGGGCGCTGATGCCCTTGATGAGTTGATCCGGCAGTGCGGCTGACGAGATAAAATGACCCTGCTGCCAAACAGCACTCGGCGCGCAGCAATCTCACTGAAAGGGTGTCGTCAGGTTCCCGCGCAACATCAAAACACTCATCACGCGTGAAGATGGGTGTGTCTTTTGTGGTGGTTTTAAGGGAAAACCAAAAGGCAAAGGGATCCAAAGCAAAAGCCGCCATCGTTGGGGTCAAATGTCAACTCGTGTTCTGTTTGGCTTGCAACGTCCTCCCCGACAGGCGGCTTTGTTGCCAGGCTCTGATGTGTGGAGCCTCAGCCCGCCGTGTCAACCTGTGGGAGGGGAAGTTTGGCTGGTGATTGAGAAAGCTTGGCAGTCTTTCGTTTGTTTTTTGCTCTTGACGCTCGCTGTAGTTCTTCCGACGCGGGCTTTGTGGTGTTCGCGTTTTGCTGACGTTGTGTGGCCGATTGTCTTTGTGCGTGTGATGTGCTGTGGACACACCACACCTTGCGAAGGACGTAGTTTTGTTTGCTGGCAGCCGCTTCGGACTGCTTTTATTTCTATCTGCTCCCCCAGCGCATTGATAACCTCAACTTCGGGCCATTGTGTACCTTGCTGTACTTTGCCGATCGGATGCTTTTGCTGAAGCGCTTTCAAGATGAAGTTGCTCACATTACAAAAGACATCCAGAGTGAATTGTGACTTGGTGTAAACTCAATGGGAAGCTTGCGCAAGTATTTCGACGACATAGTGCGCGAGCCAGCAATGCTGGGATGGCCACAGAACTGGTGCTTGAATGACGCTCCTCCCAAAGCAATTGTTGGCTGCAGCAAGCTACGGTGAAAAGAAGGTTGGACAATTGGACCGCAAGTTTAAATATTACTGTATTTGGCCGCAAACATTTGAAACCACAGCCAAGAGGCATCTCTTCCAAATTGCAAGACTACTGCAGGCATGGGCCCCTTGCAACTGAGGCAGTCAGCTTTGACCAAGATTGGCTTACTTGCACCTTGAATTTCAATGCACATTCCTGGTAATCACACAGTATGCATGGTGGGCCTATCCATGTCTCCCCCGACCCGGGTTTCTATGGCCCTGCTGCCAGTGTTCAATGGTTCTTTGCTCTGAATTCTGTTGAGAATTCCTTGTTCCTCGTCATGCTGCGCCAACATTTCAGAGACTTTTGCTAGACCGGAGAGCGTTCCAGCATTTTCCGTAGTAGGTCTTCAACGCTATGCAACAGCCACACTGCTTCTGCAAGCATGTTTCTTGGCCGAGTGAGCGAACATGGCTTAGCCAGCAGCTATATCCCAACATCCACAACTCCCAAACTTTCGATTCGCCGCAGCGCCTTCAATCTCTCTCCACTTCTCGAACCTTGCAGCGCCCAGCCTCAACCTTCGAGCGCCCGACCCCCCAAAGCCATTTTGGTGGCTGTAATACGTGATCTTTTGAAGGAGGGTGCAAATTGTTCTTACATCATTCCGGCAAAGCCAAACGTCAAACGCGTGTCGGGCACTGCTGTTGGAGTTTCAAGGACAACCCAGAGGCGATTCTCTACAGCTTCTGCGCCGCTGGCAGCCCGAAACCCCAGGTCAGTCCGGCGGACTGCAGGTTTCGAATGGACAGGTCTCGATTGGTTGCAAGCTGAGGGCTTGAATCATTTGCCCTAGCGTTTCATCCCCAGTAAAAGAATGGTTGATTTAATTCGGATGATCTGATTAGGGAAATGGCGGATATATCTGCAATCGTAACTTCTTCATTTTCTAAAGTGGTTCTGCCTGCCAGGGTCTGAGGGTTCCACAATTGATTTTGCATCTTGACCGGAGGCAAGTTGATGGGGCAACCCATTGGCGAGCGCTTGAGTACTCGGTTCAGGAGAGGCCGCTGCAGGAATGTGCAAAGGGGTGAATAGTTTTTTGCCGACTGATTAATTTGACCCAGGCGCTTTTATGTCTGCCCCAAAAGTCCAAAGAGAAGCCCTAAAAACCCTGGCCACTTGATATCATGGTTCTACAAACCAGAATTTAGGCTATTTATAGGTATTCGGACGTAGGTGTACATGGCCGTCGCAGCCACACGGGTGAGCTGATACCAAGTGGAGCTTGGGGCTTAAGATTTTGGAGCTGATGGACGGAACTTTGGGGAAGCCGGCCGCTGCGATTTGAATTGCGAGGTTTGGAGTGGGATGGCAAGCCCAGCCCTCGGCCGTTGGTTTCTGGCCAACCCGATGGGGATTCTCAGACGGTTCGAGAAGGGCGTGGGCACCAAGTCTATGTTTGATAGGGTTCTGCTCAGAACCTCTACAAAGTGCATGGCCTAAGGTCGCTTGAGGAGCGCAGTCCTGCATGGAACACCATGTCACCTGCAATGGGACGAGACGGGAAGCAAATTCCTGAAAGAATCTCCAGTGGAGATTCGGCGTGTTGCGTACTTCCAACATGCCTTTTCATGGGCGCAAGCGTGTCAGGACCCAAAAGCAAAGGTTGGATTGACATTGCGAGGCAGAACTTCTCACCACCGTGAGGGTTCCGGTTAGCGTTAGATGGAAGGGACAATCAAACTTTCTCCGCTTTGTACGCATGTCATTGCTGCAATGGTGAGATGCGACAGGCTAGCTTGAGATGCAGCCAGGGCCAGGGCACAGATTGGCATACCCCGCCCGTAAAGGAGGAAGTTATAGGCTAACTTGATCAGAAGCCTTTAGTCTGCGCTGCTGCTCTGCTGATTCGCACTTTGCTTTTCCCCGGCCTGGCCGAAGTGCCGCTCTGTTGGCAGGATGAACCTGGCCATGTGGAGATGTGTAGAATCTTTCCCTTCTGCAAATACTGTCGATCACTGATTATTTCTTGGGCAGAAGGCCCGCTGTGAGCAGGCTTAATTTGCAAGCAGGTTGGATGGAGTTGGCTCGACTTTCTCTTTCTCTGCCGATGAGGTGCTTCTTGAAACTCTGCCGTGACACGGGCCTCATTGATGACACCTTCTCGGCGGTAGACGCGGATCTGATCTTTGCAAAGGCACATTGGCTCGGATTTGGGCAGTGATTCCAGCCCGATCTCTGGCTTGACTTTGACTGGAATTTTCTCGCCCGGACTGATACAGCCACGAAATGGGGCCCGAAGTTGGGAACTGGTAGTTTTGCGGAGTTCTTGTTTTTGAGTATGTTCTCAACAGTGAGACATTTGGTCAAGCTATGCAAGAAGGCTTGAACCAACACGCAACGAGAATCATTTAAGAAAGCAGCCAATGCTAGTTATGGCACCGGTGGGCCGGGCTCAGCATTTCGAGTTTTCTTGAGGATGGCCTCTTGGTCTAATTTCGTAATGGACGTGCTAGTCTTCCACGCGCTGTCTTGACTCATTTCCCGAGTTTCTGAACTTGTGCTTTGGCCAATCTACTTAGGAGTGATGCGCGCATTTTCGAATCTACTCACCCCGCATCCCTTTGCCGGGTTTCTGCGCCAGGAGTGTAAGTCTCATTCGCGTCCGTGCGAGGTGCTGCAGAAGGGACACAGGCGCATCGCTCTTCCGCAGCTGCACGAGGAGCGACCAGCAGACGGACAAAGGCATGGCCAAAGTGAAAGGTGTCAATGGTTTTGACTTAGAATTGATTGCACCCCAAAACCAGCACAGCAATGCTTGCTTGAAATCAACTCATACAGATGGTGCCAGCCCAAACCAGAAAGCCTTCAAAATATGCAGGCCAACAAAAGGTATCATCATGCTGCTCCGGCAGAATGAACCGCGGCCTAGTTCTAGAGTTGTTGCCACATCTCATTCCCATTGCACGGACAACAAATAATTGGAACTCCAATTCCGAGTTAAGCGACCAAATCTCATTCCAGGCACTGGCTCTAGTTGCTGCTAAGAAGGGCGCCCGGTGGCCTGGTCAGGGTTTGACCGAACGGGTGAAAACGTGCTCGATCTGCATATATCACTGGGCCATCGATGCCTTCAGCAATACCCAAAGTCAGCGGTTTTGCCCAATGTGTGCCACCTCGTGTGGGTTCTCCAAATGACGGCCTTGGCAAAGTGTTCTTGTCAGGTGGCCTGTTTGATTGCAGGGCAGGTTTTTGGTTTTCGCCGAATCGGCTGGACGGTCACTTAGCTTTCCCAGTTGGTGAGCAATCTACGGGTCAGTTCTTAGGAAGCCCGTGTAATTTGCCGCTTCCAGGTCGCTTTGGGCTTTTTGTGCCAACAGCGGTGCAATTTGCAATAATCGTAGCAATGCCAGACCGCCCCTGGGGTTTCTAGTGCTTTTTGTCTATTGACAGATTCATGCAACCAATGTTACGATTGATTTGCTTCAACGCGGTGGAGTGAACATTTGCTGCTGCTTTTGCCTAGAGCAGGCCGTTGCTCCGATGCACACAGTCTTCATGTATGCGGTGCTTTGGAGGGTCATGAAAGTCACCCTTGATGGTTAATCATCCCCTTTGTTACCCTTGCATGATCAAGTGTTAGACCGGGCTACCGCATACTGAAGGCTCCAGAGAGCAGATCCATGGTTCTACCACTGTACATCATGTAGGAATCACATTACCCCATGGCGAACCTTCACTAGACTATTTGCAAATTTTGCTTGGTGCTTGGGGGACTGATATTTCCACACGACGAGATCCATGTCTCTAAGTTGCACTCTGGCGCCTTTGGTGGCAAACCACGGCTGTTTGTGCCTACCCGTTTCCCACGAGTGGCGAGTCGTCGGCGAGTCGTCAGGTGGATCGCTCGGAGTTGCTCTCGGAGGTGGCGGCCTGCGAAGGGCCCCGCATCAAGGGCACCAAGGCCCGGGGCTTTACGGGTGTGACGGAAGGGGAACTCGAAAATGGGCGCGTGCGTTCGTTTGCAAGCTTCGAACACCAAGAACAGCCGGGTCAATAACGGCGCCACCTGGCTTGCAAACAGACGCAACGCGCTGGGTCGCCTGCGCATGCCCGCCGGCCGGCTGACCATAGGCGTGCGAGCTGGGGGCGCTCAAGCGCGCGCACGCTTGCGCAAGCCCGCGCTCAGAAATGCTTTTGTTTGCAAGTTTCGGACACTGGCTTGCAAACAGATGCAACATTCAGACAAACGCATTTCAGAAAACAGTGGCTTGAAAACGCAACATTTAGAAACAGGAGCGACCATTCGGAAGCCAGACAGTTTCCGGATGGTCGGGAGAATCAGGATGGTGGGATGGTCTGTCGGGATCATGTTGGTCGGGGTGGTCGAGGTAGTCGCGATGGTCGGGATGAGTCCGGACGATTGGGATGGTGGGGATGGTCGGCAGCGTCGGGACGGTTGGGACGGTCGGGATGGTCGGGACGGTAGGAATGGTGGATGGCCGGGATGGTCGGGATGGTCGGGATGGTCGGGATGGTCGGAATGGTCGGAATGGTCGGGATGGTGGGATGGTTGGGTCGGGACTCGGTTGAGATTGTCAGGACGGTCGGGATGCTCGGCATGGTCAGTAATGTTGGACCCTCTTTAATGCTACCCCCCCCCCCCCCCCTGAACAGTGGAACCAGTCAGCTGGACCCTCTTTAGGGAAATCCTGGGGGTCTGGGTGGGACTTGGATGAGTTTCAATTTGATTTAGTATTGGTAGACTTGAGTTTCCATTTGATGTAGTATTGCTGGAGCTTCCTTTTGAGATTTGGAACTGAGTTTCAAATTGCTTTAGTATTGGTAGACTTGAGTTTCCATTTGATGTAGTATTGCTGGAGCTTCCTTTTGAGAGTTGGAACTGAGTTTCAAATTGATTTAGTATTGGTAGACTTGAGTTTCCATTTGATTTAGTATTGCTGGAGCTTCCTTTTGAGGTTTGGAACTGAGTTTCCATTTGATTTTGTATTGCTGGAGCTTCCTTTTGAGATTTGGAACTGAGTTTCCATTTGATTTAGTATTGCTGGAGCTTCCTTTTGAGATTTGGAACTGATTTTCCATTTGATTTAGTATTGCTGGAGCTTCCGAGTACTTACTTTAGCATTGCCAATTCTACTTTAATATTGCAAGGCCGGCTCTCAGATTCCCAGTACTTACTTTACATTGCTAATTCTACTTTAGTATTGCCAAGGACCGTTTTTTCGGCAACCCCCGAAACCAGTTGGACACTAAAGAGGACCCCAAAACAGTCAGACTAAAGAGGATCAGGGGCTCTTGTGGGCACCCCCCTTTGCGTGACTGATTGCCCTCACTTTTGTGTAAAAAAGTTATCTTAAATTTGATGGTTTGGGAACAACTTGCAAAATGGATTTCCTAGATCTCAGGCCTTCAACCTTTGAGCTGGGGAGAGCTTAGGATGAGCCCCCTCCTTTGAAAGTACAAGGCTGAGGCTTTGTTTTTCAATTTTCAGCAACCCCGAAACCAGCTGGACACTACAGAGGACCCCAAAACAGTTTCATTGCAGAGGATCCAAATGTTTGCCAGGATTTGTTTGCCTTTTTTTTGCCCGACTTGTTTGCCAAGTTTTTGTTGCCCATATTTTTCCAGCGTTGTTTCCGGCATTTTCCGACCAACAAACTTGCCATAATAGAGGACCCCTAAAACAGTCACAGGATCCTGAATTACGAAAAAATACGCAATAGAGGACCCTATCATGAAAGGAGGTGTAACATTACAGTTTAGGGTAGGTTAGGGTGTCTTCGTGTGAGTTAAGGGTGGCAAATTAGGGGCTGGTTTTGGGTGGGTTTAGGGCTGGTTATTGTTGGTTTAGTGAGTTCAGAGTTGGTTTAGGGTTGGTTTTTTGGGTGGCTCTAGCTGCTTAGCAGCCGAGCAAGCAAACCATCCCGAGCATCCCCAGTATCCTGACAGTCCCGACCATCCCAACCATCCAACCATCCCAGCCTTGTAACCACCGTGAACCAAACTTAAGGCCGTAAACCATTCCCAAAGTCATCCTAAACCAATCCAAAACCAGACTCAAACCAACCCCAAACCCCAAACCCACCCTAAACCAGCCGTAAAGCCACCGTAGACAGACCCTCAACCGACCCTACACCACCCTGCAACAGCCCTCGACGGCCGCAACAGTATGGGCTGTCGGCCGAACATCAGCCGAATTTCACAAATGTCTCGGCCGAAATTCACGTTCTCGTCGGCTGGATTTCACATCAGTGTCGGCCGATCACGTCGGCTGAATTTTATTACATCAACTCAGGACTACGCGCAAGAGAAGATACCTCGCGTGCAAACAGCGGCAAGCCCGCAAACGGAACCTCGGAACCGCCCCACACATCCTCCGAACTCGGAACTGTGATGTATTCCCAAAACCCTCCTTGGAGCCACCCCACGCATCAGAACCTTCCTCGGACCCTCCCTGCCCTCCCCAAGCCTTGCTCGGATCCGCCCCACGCATCCCTGGAACGTAGCCTTACACAGCGCTGGACAACGCTGCTCGATTGGGTGGAGTGGATTTGTGTTATTGGGCTCACACAGGAGTAGGCCATGCTCACGAGGGCTTTACCATGGCACTTCTGTGCTAGCCTGAAGGAAGGCATATGTTGACGTGAGTTGTCATCCTTTTCCATTTCCAACCATCAAGCTAAGGAGGCCCCTTTTGTTTCTTCAGAAAACACAATGTGAGAGTCGCCGAAGGGTCCAACAACTTTTCCGCTGCATGATGTCCCTGTTAATGACAGAAGCATGCCCACAGTCCGAACATTCATGGCGGGTACATGTCTTTGCTAACTTCTGAATATTGCCAAATCAGGGTCATCCAGGGCTTGTCTTGCGCCCAGCCTCGAGGCAGCGCCCCCGCGCCTACACGACACTGGCCGGGGACTTGGAAGAAGCCCAAAGCTGCGTGCGAGTGCTGCCTCTTCCTGTGGATTGATGTCTGCTTCCTTGATTTTTGTTGAACATGGGGTCGATCCAAAACAATCTGCATGTGGACCGGGGTTAAGCAGCTTTGCATGAAACACACAACGTGGGGAGATGATGGGGAGATGGGGCCGCTTTCCTTGGATTTGCTTCTTCGGGCTTCCGAAGAGGTGCTGAAACGAGCTTAGCCCAGATTTGCCTCCCGCCGGTTTCCGAGGGTGTCCCAAACAGGCAAAACATCGTTCTCGTGGGTTGAGAAGGCGTTTTGCAGCCAACTAAACGATGGGCGAGTTCTAGGAAAGCCTCCTGGCCCTATGCCCTATACTGGCCTTGGTACTGCGAAGCCATTGTCAGAAGTAATGCCACGCTTGCTTTTTCACTGCGCCCAAAAAGAAAAGAACAAATGGCCTGATTGCCAGTGAATCTCATGGCCATGCAAATCGGATCGCTGGAGACCTGGGCGCTTCCGGATTGCCAGGCAGCCAGTCCATGCGGCGGAGGATTGCAGACTCAGGCGGGCCGTTGGATTTGGACCCTCGAAGTTCGGAGAGCCACACGAAAGGGGGCACTGGGGACCCGGTTTTGGATGGTTTTCATTGGGAAACCAAAAGGAAACAAGCCTGGAGGGGACCCTAATTTGAGAATGACCCAAATCACGCTCAGGTCAGGCTCTGTTTTGGGCGCATCCTCTTTCGTGTTCCTTTTCCCACATGGGCTTATATGACCAATGGGCGTGGGGAACATTGCTGGTCCTCCAGATGGGTGGCAGCTTCAGTTTTAGAAGCCTGGTGGCAGCAAGAACTACGCCGTTCTTGAGATGGCTTCTTTGGCTGTGCTTTTTGGCAGCGGCCTCCATAAGATTTTTCTTGTGAGATCCCGCTAGAGATTTGCAAGAGACACTAGACAACTCATACACACACACACACACACACAGTTGCTCAGCAAACGCTAGGCGCACACTAGAAGGCACACACTAGAGTTGTGCTTCAGTAGGCAGCATATGCTTGGCAGACTGACTATGTTTCAATTGCATCACACAACCAAACGACTTGTTTCTCATTTTTGCATGCGTTAGGAACATGCTGCAATTGTTTGAAGCACATACTAGATACGTGCAAAATCGTTGTAGACACATGTTGGGAAACTCCACTCGCACTTTTGCTGGGCACATGCTCGAATGCTGGAACTACGTATGCAAAGTTTTGTTTGAGATCTGCTAGTATCAAACGCTCAACCTCAGCAACATGTTGAGCAATCTTGTGCGCTCGGCCATCGTGCAAGTAAACCCCGTGACCCAGGGCCACATTCAGCAAGGAGTGGTTCGACTAGGCCTGGGTGGCTTTGCCGAATCATGCCGGCGGATTTTTCCAAGAAGATGTATGTACTTCAATGGACATCAAATTCATTGCGGAATCATATTCAGTTCATCAAATTATTCTGCAAATGCACGTTTATGAAACTGGCTGCCACCGAACAATTTCTGTGGCCACAGATCCTTTCCAGTGGAAGCATGAACGTGTCACGGGAACAAACTTGAACAGCTTGCATGCTAAGGCTTTTTTGTGCTGGAAGCACTCACGAGCCAAACCAATGTTTCGCGGGTCTTCATGTTTTGGCAAGTCCGAACTGGTGAGCAGTCAGCCAGGATTGGAGCGGGATAGGCTCCCAGAAGAACGCCTCTGGGTAAGCCAATTTCACAGCGTGGTTGAGAGTGGAGTGCATTGGAAATTGGGAGTGTAGCAAGTTTGCTGGGCAGGATAGCGCGCACCGCAACATGCTCTGAATTCTCACGCCCACAGTCTGTTGAATTTCTGCCAGCTGTCCGCTTGATTATGGCCACGTGATTGCGGATTGTGTACCGCTGCCATCGTTCTGGCAACCTCCGCCGTGTCTCCAGGATCCTCGCCTCTGCTGCTCAGGATGGGAGGGATGGGAAAGGGCCAGGCTTCCCCCGCAGCGCGCTTCGGACATTTCTGTTGGGGTGAGATGCGAGATCTTGACGCGAACAGTTTGTCAGGGCGCTTTTTTGACATTGCACCTTTCCAGTGGATATCCAAGCATTCTTGAAGAGGTGGTTTATGGGTACGGGGTTTTCCGCCACACCCCCGTTCATTGGCCACAAATTTGGTGTGCTGAGCAATCCTGGAATTTCGCTGGGCAAGAGACAAACAGCAGGTATTTTCGCCTAGTATTGCCGACGGATTCAAAACTACTGGGTGTCAAGGCAGGGATGATGTCATGCAAGGGCGTCCATGCTTTTGCTGGCTTCCTGTTTGTATCATCAATCACCAGGACGGGTTCGTTATTCATGGCACCAGCCAACCATTCTCCTCCAAATGCTGTTTTAAGAGAAACCATGCGAAAGAGTGATTTTGAGACCCCCTCAAAATTGCAACAAGGAAGCCTGTCATGCACTCATTTTTTTTGGGAGTGCGGTGGCTTCGCACCTTCGGTCCAGGCTGTGGTGGCTTCCTCATCCCTGAAGCAGGTGCGTGGGATGAGAGCACCGGGCGAGCCCTCCCCCTGCCGGTTGCACATGTCTCGGCGATCTCCCACAAGCCCAGTGATCTGGTGAACGGCAATGTGTGTGACTATGGGCGTGCGCATTGGCCGTGTGGCTTCAGAAATCAAATCCGGTTGACCCTCATGAGGGACAAGCACGGAAGTGCAGACATGGTAACCATGTTGAAAGCAGTCTGGGAGTTGCGTTGGTGTCAAACATGCGTTTCTTTTGCAAGTCTTGTGATGAGGATGGCACCAGCTCCTACCAGGAGGTGTTCAAGGTGCGGAATTTGGCACCGAGCGGAAAGGGGCGAGAATGGGGCGCGTGTATTTGCACAAGGCAAGGCATATGTTTATCTTTTGCAATCATCTGAATGTTGATAGTGTCATTCTTGTACACGTTCTGACACTCTGGATGGCAAGGGAGCAAGGTGTATGTGCTTGTGAGATGTCTAGCTTGACAGGTGGCCGTTCCTACAACGGGATGCCAGTAGAATTGAGTCCTCGTTGTGTCAATTCCAGCCAACGCCAGACAGACTCCCAGAAAATCGCATTGTCTCTGATAACCTTCTCTGTGCGCCCCCCAAAAGCGGATCCCAAAAGCGGATCCCCGTCGCGTTCCGATCGAGCCTCACGAGCCATGCAGGTCTTTTGCGGGCCCCACAGCTCGATGGACGGCGCTGCCTTCTCCAAGCTTTGCAAGGCTCGGTCGTTGGCTTGTGGGTCAGGCAAGGTTCCGCACAGAGACCGTGGATTCCGCAAAGAGGAGCTAGGGCATGGTGCATGCCTGGGCGAGGATGGATGCAATCCCCAACACCCCCAAGAACCCTCCCAATAAATGTTAGTCTTGAAAGGACATGACTTCGCATTTCAAGTTCAATTCCAAGGCCTATGCAAGAACCCTTCCAAGAAAAAGCAGTTCTGAGTGTATCGAAGGCTGTGTTCACTTTGAGGTCAGGCATCAAACTGGACATTGTTAATTTATGCGGATTCTCATTCTTCCAAGCACGAGGCGGGGCATACGGAAGGAGCATCCTTAATCAACAGAGTGAGGAGCATTTTTCCGAAAGCGTAGAGGGTTCCCGTTTATACGTGGGGGTCTGGGGGTGGAGGCCGTGTTCGCGACCGTCCGCAACCGTCCGCAACCGTTCGCGGTGAGGTGATAAGCGTGTGCCATTGGGCTTCATCGTGGAAGCGTGTTTTTGATGGATCGGCAAGTGCTGTTTTCGTTGGCCCGGTGCGGGAATCGTAGCTTCGCAAGCTCGACGTGTCGTTTTGCTGCGCAGGCGCAGTGTTTTGGAAGGCTGCGTGTTCTCGTTGCCGTGCCAGTCGGATTTGCGATCCAGGGGTGGTCGCTTTGAGGCGTCCTGCTTGGTAGGCGCGTGCAAGTGTTTTGCACCACGCCGTTTTTGTTGGCCCTGTCGTACAATCGGCTCGTTTTGGCAAGCCTGAAACGTGTCAAAATTGGTCGAAATCATTCTGGCGCCACAGTCCCGTGCTAGTTTGGATGCGAATCGTAATCGCGTCAAGGTTGGATTTCGTGGCAGGTCCAGCAGTTTGGATGATTTTGAGTTCGTGGCAAGCTTACTTTGCGTGGCAGGCGCAGCACTTTCGAGCGTTTTGGTTGAAATTCATGGCAGGCGCGACACTTTGGAGCTTTTCGTGCAAATTTTGCGGCTAGCGCAGTACTTTGGCGCCTGGGCGCAGATTTCGTGGCAGGCACGTCACTTCGACTCCGCGAGATCGCTCTCACTGTGGCGCGGTGCACATTTTGAGAACGCGAAACGAGTGGCAGGCACGTCACTTTGACTCAGCGAGATCGCTCTCGCTGTGGCGCGGTGCACATTTTGAGCATGCTGCGCGCTTTGGGCGCTCTCGCTGTGGTGCGGTGCGAATTTTGAGCATGCGAGTGCACCCTCTGCGCGCTTTGAGTGGGTCGAATCGCTCTCGCATTTTGAGCGCGCAAAGTGAACCCTCTGCGCACTTCATTTGGGTGGGTCGAATCGCTCTCGCTGTGGCGCGGTGCGCTTTTTGAGCGCGCAAAGTGAACCCTCTGCACACTTTGGGTGGGTCGAATCGCTCTCGCTGTGGCGCGGTGCGCGTTTGGAGACAGAAGGTGTCGTTCAGAAGAATGTCCATTAGACGTGTCGTTCAGAAGTGTCGATTAGAAGTGTCGTTCAGAAGTGTCGATCAAAAGCGTCGCTCAGTAGTCTCGGTCGGAAGCGTCGACAGAAGTGTTGCTCGGAAGTGTCGATCAAAAGTGTCGCTCAGTAGTCTCGGTCGGAAGCGTCGACAGAAGTGTTGCTCAGAAGTGTCGATCAGAAGTGTCGAACAGAAGTGTTGCTCAGAAGTGTTGCTCAGACGTGTCCCTCAGAAATGTTGTCAGAAGCGTTGATCAGAAGTGTTGCTCAGAACTAGAACTGTCGATCAGAGCAGAAGTGTGGATCAGACGTGCTGCTCAGAAGTGTCAATCAGAAGTGTGGTTCAGAAGTATCGCTCAAAAGTACCGCTCAGAAGTGTCAATCAAAAGTGTTGCTCAGAAGTGTTGCTCAGAGTTGCTCGGAAGTTTCGATCAGAAACGTGCTCAGAAAGTGCTGCTCAGGGGCATCGCTGCGCTCATTGCTCAGAGGCGTCGCTCAGAAGTGTCGCTCATGTCACTGAGGTATGTGTGTAGAAATGTTGTTCGAATTGTGGCTCAGGCAGCAGTGTTGCTGATGTGTGTGTGTGGCTCAGACGTGTCGCTCAAAGGTCTTTTCAGAGTGTGTGTGTGTTTGCTCAGAAGTGTTGCTCGGAAGTGCTGATCAGAAGCATCGGTCAGAAGTGTTGCTCAGAACTGTCGATCAGAGGTGTCGGTCAGGGGTGTCGATCAGCAGTGTTGAATCAGCAGTGTTGCTGAAAAGTGTTGCTCGGAAGTGTCGGTCGGAAGTGTTGCTCAGCACTGTGGATCAGAAGTGTTGACCAGAAGTGTCGATCAGAAGTGCCGATCAGAAGTGTTGCTCAAAAGTGATGATGAGCAGTGTGGGTCTGAAGTGTTGCTCCCTCAGAGGTGTTGCGCAGAAGTGTCGCTCTGAAGTATCGATCAGAAGTGGGGATTAGAAGCATCGATCAAGTTGCTCAGAACTGTCGATCGTGGTGTCGGTCAGAGGTGTCGATCAGCAGTGTCGAATCAGCAGTGTTGCTCTGAAGTGTTGTCAGAAGTGTTGCTCAGAAGTGTTGCTCAGAAGTGTCGACCAGAAGTGTCGATCAGAAGTGTTGCTCGGAATTGTCGCGCAGAAGTGTCAGTCTGAAGTGTTGCTCAGAAGTGTTGCTCAGAAAATTGATTTCCGCAGTATTGCTCAGAAGTGCCGCTCAGAAGTGTCGATGAGCAGTGTGGATCAGAAGTGTCGATCCGAAGTGTGGATCAGAAGTGTCGATCAGAAGTGTGGATCAGAAGTGTGGGTCGGAGGTGTTGCTCAGAAGTGTTGATGAGAAGGGTTCCTCAAAAGTGTTGCTCAGAAGTGTCGAACAGAAGTGTTGCTCAGAAGTGTCGCCCAGAAGTGTCAATTCAGCAGTGTTGCTCAGAAGTGTCGTTCAGAAGTGTCGATGAGCAGTGTGGATCAGAAGTGTTTGTCAGAAGTGTTTTCAGAACTCCCGATGAGAAGTGTGGATCAGAAGTGTTGCTCATCAGTGTGGTTCAGCAGTGTTGCTCAAACTGTCGATCAGAAGTGTCAATCAGAAGCGCGGATCAAAAGCGTTGCTCAGAAGTGTCGATCAGAAGTGTTGCTCAGAAAAGTCGATCAGCAAAAGTGTCGCTCAGAAGTGTTGCTCAGAAGTGTCGATCAGAAAAAGTGTGGTTCAGAAGTGTTGATCAGGTGTCGCTCAAAAGTGTCGCTCAGAAGTGTCAATCAGAAGTTGTGCTCAGACAGCTGGAAATTCGCAACTTTCGCGAAGTACAGGTTTCTGGAAAATCACAACTGTGAAGCGCAAGTCTAGTGCACGAAGTACAGGTTTCCAGCTCCAGCTCGAAAATCGCAAGTTTGTAGTACCAGTCTAATGCGCGAAATACAGACTTCCAGCTCCAGCTGGAAAATCGCGACTTTGTAGCACAAGTCTAGTGCGCGAAGTACAGGTTTCCAGCTCTAGCTGGAAAATCGCAACTTTGTAGTACCAGCTCTAGCTGGAGAATCGCAACTTTTAAGTACAAGTGTAGTGCGCGAAGTGCAGGTTTCCAGCACTAGCTGGAAAATCGCAACTTTGTAGCGCAAGAATAGTACGTGAAGTACAAGTTTCCAGCTCTGGCTGGAAGATCGCAACTTTGAAGTGCAAGTATAGTATGCGAAGTACAGGTTTTGAGCTCCAGCTCGAATATCGCGACTTTGTAGTACAAGTCTAGTACGTACAAAGTACGGGTTTTCAGCCCTAGCTGGACAATCGCAGCTGTGCAGCGCAAGTCTAGCGCGCGAAGTACAGTTTTCCAGCCGGAAAATCGCAACTTTGTAGTACAAGTCTAGCGCGCGAAGCGCAGGTGTCCATCTCCAGATTGAATTGTAGCAACAAGTGGAGCACGCAAAGTACAGTTTTACAAGCTGACAAAAACATAGTTTGCGCAGTTGGCTTGATTGCGAGCACCATTGGCTTATACCGAAAGATGTTCTCTCCAACAATTGTTGGGTTTGCGCAAAGTGATGTGCATTCGGGTTCGTGGGCTCTGTCTTGTTTCTCCTTCAGGACGGAAACTTGCGGTATCTGCAAGCTTGTGGAAGATTTGTGGGTTTTCCATTGCCCGCTCCATCGATCAGGAGGTTTCTCAAAATACCCCACCCCCCCAAAAAATACAAAGAAGAAGCAAGAAGTGCTGTTTCCTTCAGGTTCCTTTCAATCACAGCCTACGTACTGGGCCACACCATTTGTAGGTTTCTTTTTGCAGGGAACCTGACAGGGACGAAGTCTCCATCGTGCGCGGAGGCATGAAGACCCGCCATAGTGGTTGGTCATTGAATCCATCAACCGGCTTGCTGATGCCAGGACTGTGGCTTGCTCGACAAGAAGCAGGGTGCCCAGCCCGACTTGCCCGCGTAAGACAGTGTGTTTGTGCTTTTGCGAGGGTACCCTTGTTCTTTTTACCTTAGTTTTGACATTTTTTCACATTTTAAGGGAAGCCAAAGGGAAAACCACCAATTTTGTTTGGCCCTTTTATTTGCCACATACCCAAATGGACATAAACGGGCGACACCTTGCTACATTCCTCCCCAATTGAGGACACATCGCATCTGATGCATGGTAACGTCGCAGGCCCAACACGGCCACAGGAGAGGCAAGCCATAGGCAGCATGCAGCATGCAATGCACGCGACGCGGTGCAGGCCATAGGAGACTCAGCACTTCAGACAGAATAGAAGCGACTTCTCAAGGAGCAAGCTGCAAGGGACCTGAACTACAGTAGACAGACATTCAAGCCCTTCACTAAAGGAGTCATGTGTGCGCCCCGCGCCCCAGATCTCAATGTTGACATGTCAGCTCTAACTTTGTACGATTGGGGTTTCAATTGTTTTGTCCACTGGTCCCTGGTCCTTGAAGAACATTCCAACATTGATGTTGGGGACGGGGAGGAGATTCATAGTGAAGGGTTTGAATATTTCGTCCATCTACGATAGCGCTGACGTGCAGTGTACGGATCAACGTTTGCACATGCAAATTGTAGAGAGCCGGGGAAACTGTTTGGTTGTAAATGGCTAGGTTGAAGCCCTTCCACATGTTCACTTCAGCAAACTAGTCAGAAGTATCGTTCAGTCAACAGCCTGCTTGAACCACTTGAGAGTACAAAATGCATGCCTTGAAGGATGCATGCGCGGACCCCTCCTTACGACAGGGAGCTTAGTGAAGCTCTGACTCGCTCCACCCAAAACTACACAAGCTAATCGTGAAGTCCCAATATTAATTCGACAGATGCGATGCGAGTGCCTGGCCATTGATCCGCTGTGACTGGAGTTGGCAGACTTAGGATTTCCTAGTTCAGCATGCTGGGGCCAGAATTGTCTCGGCCAGTTTCTTTGCGCAGGCTGAGCCCTGCGGATGCCGACCTCATCTTTGCAAAGGCCGGGGAAGGTCGCTTGCTAGATTGGACGATTCCTCTTGGTATGCCTCAGTTTTGTTCCTTCCGCCCACAAACTTGTTTCCACGAACCTGCCCAAGAATCGACCTTGTGTGGACACAGAAGTTTTGGGTAGGGGATTGGCCTTGCAGGGCCAGTGGATTTGCGAATGCAGACCGCTGCAAGTCATACGTCCCATCATATCCCATACCATACCATACCATACCATTCCATTCTATTCCATTGCTTTGTTTTGATGCCATTGCGCCAACTTCCCAGTGCATTTTTGATACGCCCGACTAAGTGAGAAGCTTGATGCCTGCAAAGCCACCAGGGGTCAGGGAATCAAGAATGTCAACAGCAAGGTCATCTGTTCGAGTGGTGCAGCTTGCAGAGTTGCAAGCCTTTGCACAGCTTGTTGCACAGCTTGTTGGATTTCGGCCTGCCTGTTCCTTCGTCCTTGGCCGCACTGTCCTGTGGCACTTTTTAGCGCAAATGAGAAAGGAATCGCAGCTTGCAAGAGGAATGAATTTGTTTGTTTGGTCAACTTCCTTGGTTTTCCTTCACGCCCTTTTACCGCGATCCATAATCCGCAACCGACCAAAACCTACGTATAAGGATCCTCCCACATATTCCCTCCAGCCACCCCTTGGCTTGATTTGCCCATGTGAGGAATGAAGGCTCTCAGTCAAATCTGGGATAATTTTCTTTCTTGTCTTTTTCCCTTGGCAAATGTCTGGCTGACATGGTGTGTAAGAAAACCCGCAAAACATACGTGCTGCCCACAAGGTCTTATTATGCTGTAATGATCGTGCTTAGGGTTTTTAGGGTTTAGGTTTAAGTTTTTTTGGGTGTAGGATTATGGTTGTTAGGGTTTAAGTTTAGACTTTTTAGGAATTAGGTTTATTGTTTTTAGGGTTTAGGTTTAGGGTTGCTAGGGTGTAGGTTTAGGGTTTTTGGGTTTAGGGTTTTCAGGGTTTTTAGGGTTCGGGTTTAGGGTTTTTTGGGTTTTCAGGTTCAGGTTTACTTTTTTTAGGGTTTAGGTTTAGGGTTTTTGAGGGCTTTTAGGGTTTAGGAGTTTTAGGGTTTAGGCACCGGGTTTTTAGGGTTTAGGTTTGCTTGGAGCTGGCTGTCCGGTGCATCCGAGGCTGGCTTTTCTGGTTTAGGTTTAGGGTTGTGTTGATGATAGCAGTATATAACTAGGAAAAGTCGCCGCGCTCCATGAAAGGGGTATGGAGCATGGAGCTGGGGTGGGGCCCGGGGGGCTCGGAAGTGCGTTTTTGCTGTACCTGCCACGCTTCTTGGAGGTCTCGGGGACCCGCTTCCGGGCGGTCGCGGGCAACAGGTACGTTTTGGCCGTAAAAATAGGAACCCTCAAATGGGGGATTTCGCTTGGTTTCCCTTCAAACCAACACAAGAAAGGGTTCGCCAGGCCTGAAACACCTCCCCAATCAGGTCTGCCCGCGCGGGCACCGGCGTATGAACCTGGAGCGGTTCGAGGAGGCTGTTTGTGTCGGGTTGAATCATTGAATCATTCAATTCGAAGAGACCCGAGGTGGACGACGGACAGATATTGAGTTGTTTTGTGATTGCTGTGAGTGCGAGAGTGCGTGCGTACGGGGCGGACGTGCGGGCGTGCAGGCGTGCGTGAGTGTCTGGGCGTGCGGGCGTGCGGGCGTGCGGGCATGCGGGCATGCGGGCATCGGGCGTGCAGGCGTGCGTGAGTACGGGAGTGCGAAAGACGGCGTGTGTGCAGGCATGCGTGCAGGCAGACAGGCGTGCGCGCGTGCGGGCGTGCAGGCGTGCGTGTGGGTGTGCGGGTGTGTGCAGGCGTGCGTGCGTACGGGCGTGCTGGCATGCGGGCGTACAAGCGGGCATGTGGGAGTGCAGGTGTGTGGGCGTGGGTGTGGGTGTGCCCGCGTGCGGGCGTGCGGTGTGCAGGCGTGCGTGTGGGCGAGCGTGCGGGCGAGCGGGTGCCTGCGCGCGCGTGGCTGGTCGTGGGCGGGGGCGGGCGGGGTCGGGCGCGCTCGGACATGTTTACAATACCATCTTCAAAGAAGGAGTGAGTGTGCCTGTGTGTGTGTGTGTGTGTGTGGCTAGGGCACCCTGGAATCACCACGGCAGCTGAAGGTTGCCTGGGGTGGCTAGCTTGGTATCTCCCCTCATACCCAAGTTGGTGTGTTTGCAGAAGCCAACGGTCCTGCGTGCGCCCAAGGCATTTGCGCAAATTGGGTATGGGCTCATGCCAGACATTTGTCAACATCCGTGACTGGGGAGCGGTGAGGAGTCGCTGCTCAGCGAAGACATTCCTTTCGTGCTGTGACATCAGTCCGGGACGCAACTGCAAGAAGAGTTTTTCACAGTCTTGCCTTGTCCGGGATGTAATTCCCGAGAGAATGCGTGCGTGCGTGCGTGCCTGCGTTCGCGCGCGGGCGTGCGGGCATGCGGGCGCGCGGGCAGCGGGCGTGCGGGCGTGCGGGGGTTGTGGCGGTTTGTTTGTTTGTTTGTTTGTTTGTTTGTTTGTGTTGGTGTTTGCGTTAGTGTTTGTTGTTGACGCTGTTGTGCCTCTCCGTTTTAAGGGACATCAGCAGGAACGCAATTTCGATGGACCGGTGGGGGTCGCGACGCGGCCGGCGGCCTCGCCGGGCTTTTTTCCAGCTAGTTACACTTTGGTATTGAGCCAGGGGTGGGTGCAGATCGCCCGCTTTGTAGGTTTTGTCGCCAGGCCGTTTGGCTTCTGGGCCGCAAGCGAGGCCGCGTTGTCCGGTGCGGTGCTGGGTTTGGATAGGGGGGCTGAGAGAAGCGAGAACCATGCAGCTAGAGCCATGACATTCTGTGCAGCTGTACGTTTGGGAGGACCTTTCCAATATGGAGAGAAAGCGAAACAGAGAGCGAGAGAGAGAGAGAGAGAGACAAAGAAAGAGAGAGAAAGAGAGAGAGAGAGAGAGGAGAGAGCAAGAGGTAGAGAGAGACAGAGAGAGAGAGGGAGAGAGAGAGAAGCGCAAATATTTTGCCCACGTGCTCAAGGACATCAACGCAAGCCTTCAAAAGTCCCAGAGAGGCATTGAGGCATCATAAATCATGCTGCGAATGCCGACCAGCCTGTGCAAGTTTGTCTCAATTTTGGAAGGGTTCATGCGCAGCAGACTGCGTCACTATCAAGCACCTTGAGGTTTCCTTCCAAGAGGGTTGTGTGCGCACGCCCCCTAAGCAACATGCAGGGCCACAAAGAAGTGGCATGCCGGGTTCAGAGCGTCGAAGCCTGTCCATCCGTTGGTGACAAACAGCCTCACTGGCTACTGTTGAAGAAGCCTGCCGGCCTGCACACTTTGATCTGAGACTTTTGATTGGAGCGCAACGTATGTTCCCCGCATGAAACTTGTACGAAGCTTGAATTGCTGGGCAGCTTGAAATGCTCTTGCTTGACTCCCTCGGCTTGGATGTGGCTTGCCTACATTGCCTATCCATTGTGTGCCTTTTTGGCTGTTCGGATGCCATTGTTCCACATCTCCCGGAAAAGAGTTGTTTGTTGCCCAACAATTTTTGACCTTACACATAGAGCACTAAGTCTATGATCTTCTCACAGTTCCAGATTCAACTTGCGAATCAGTACTTCTCACATTGTGCAGATTTTTGTCCTTACTCTTTTTTCGCCCCCGCCCCCCCCCCAAAGAACAACACCAAGCTGTGCAACCTCTGGCTGCTCTGTTTTGCAGGCGTGGAGTACGGCGCACTGCTGGAAACCATTGCCAACTCTACAGGCAAAGCTTGGCGGTGTGGAAGTGTCAGGCAATCTTCAAGGCGCCTTTTTGCGGGGCTCTAGTTTGATGGGTGAGAAACTGTTTCGCTGGAAAGCCCACCCAAGACATTTACGACATTTACGACTTTCGTTGAGAAATCCTGAATCCTTTGTGTAAACCGATGCCAAACAGGGCTTGCTTCGGCCGGTCGCTGCAACTCGTGGGCCACAACTCAAGGTAGCCATTGGATAAAGATGTGGGGGATGATGTACCTTCGAACAAGTAGTGCTTATGCATGTCGTGTTTAGTTTTTAAACTTAGTTTCAGCTGATCAGTCAGACAGCACCTGGCACAGAGTGGCATGCGGCATTGACCCTGTCAACTCTTGATCTGAGACCTGACAAACAACATACCTGGGGTGGAGCTCGCTAAAGCATCCCACCCTTTGTTCCTTTCGGTCAGGGTCCGTCAAATGTGCCAGGGTCAAAGTTTTACTGCTTTTGGTTGACTTTACAGTGCTTAGCATAGGTGTTTCAAGCTTGTTTGAGTCTTTCTCGCCCAAATCCAACCTTCTGACACATCTTGGAGAGCCCGGATGACGACTTTAAAGTGGATCCAACAAACATCAAGCTTTTCTCCCCATGGGGTTGGGGGAGAGATGTGCTGTCAATCCGATTCGTGTGTTTCCTTGCTTTCGGTGAAGCCTCAAAAAGCCTCGGAAAACGCAGTGGATCCACCTCGCGCTTGCGAAGCAGCCAGTGCTTCGCGCTGACGTGCTCTCACCCAAAGTATCGATTTGTTTTACGTTATGTCGAGCCTAGGCCGAGTTGCGAATCGATTTGGGGTGTAATCTGGCATAGAAGGCTTGAACAACCGTGGTTCAAGTGTTGAAGGCGGATGGCCACTGCAAAAGATGAAGTCGCTGTATCATGGCACACAAGGTATTGATTGGCTAGCCATCGGTGGTCACACTTTGCACCCGAACTGCCTTTCACAGGCTGCCTTCATGGGAGAAGGACCAGTACTTGATGGTGAAAGATTCTTTCCGCATCCGGGGCTCGGCTGAGGGGAAGCAGTCTGACATACTTGGCTTTCTGGGGTGTGACAAGCTGCCATGCGCAGGCCCCTTGCTGAAAGCCACACAGGCGCGGCGGCACACCTCTTGCATGTGTGTCTCTTTATTTGAGGCCCGGTCCCGGTACCGCATTTTGGGTTGGTTTGAATGGAAAACCAAAGGAAAGCCAAATGGACGCCACCCAATTTTGGGCCCGGTCACCCATTTTGACACTCATTGGCTCAAGGAATCTTGTTTAGGACAGGCCTATCTACGGGGCATTGTATTTGTAGGGTTGGGTCAATCTTCGGTAGCTGCACCAAACTCTCGAACAGACTCCTTAGAGCGTGGGGCCGGAATGGCAAGATGACATGCGGTGCATTGGTTGCTATGGGCGCCAGATGGCGCTTTGGATATGAATATGTGTATATATGTATAGACCTGGGAGGCTTTGAGAGTTGGAGTTATGCGCTTCGCCAGGATCTTGGTATGTGCAAGCCGAGCGGGACGTATGGGATCGGTCACAGCCAGTCACAGCAATGTATTGCTAGTCTACAGGACATGTTTTTTCCGTTGGGGTGCCATTCTGAGCATTCTCATCAGCGGATTTCGTTCGCAGAGGGCGTTGCCCCATGCCGATGTGTCAAGTCTCAGCTAGACTCTGGTCAGTGTACGCTGAAGGTCGCTGCCGTCAGTGCCAATCTTATTCTGTGTTGTCAGGTTGACTGAATCTGACACATCATTTGCAAAGATTGTTGTTGGTGTGGCCTGGATTGCGCCTAATTTGTTTGGATTGGCGTTTTGGGAGTTTGAACCCCACGTTCTTGTACGTTCTTGTTGGGTAAATGGAAAACCACCCTCTAGTCTCCAAATCAACGGGCTCCAAACCACCAATCAGTGGGAAGCTGACTGGGGCGCGTTGGGCCAAGCTCTGACTGTGCTTAACACATCTCGCGCTCGTCGAAAGGCGGAGGGCTCTTTCAAGTGTGGTCCTTACTTGGAACGGGCGGGGGGGGTGCAGGCCCTAGAAGGACTTGACTTGATGCGTTGGAAAGACCGGGTAAGTTGGATACAACAAACTTCGAGAGACTAGGCGTGTTGGACCTGAGTCCTCTGATTGTGCAAAGAGGAGGAAACGCGGATCAAGCTAGTGCAGAGGAGGATTATTGATGGCATTTGCGTGCAGCATTCAGTCTTCGCAGTTCTGTGTTTATGAGTTTGACTGCAGGTTTGTAGGATTGCAAATTCCTTCGGCCACCGCAGTCCTCGACAAGCGCTGAGGTTTCATGCTCATGGCGGTTCCTGAGCATGGCGCTCCAGTCAGGGCGGAATTGGTTGCATCGCCAGTTGGAGTTGGCCTCCATTTGCAGTTGTAGCTGGAACTGGCGATCCTGGCGTGCATGGAGTCTACTGAATCGACTTGAGCCTTGCATTCAGATGGAAGACACAAAGTGCGGTCCCAAGAAGTTTTGAGCTTCTGGTGCCGTAGCGCACACGACTGGGTTTCTGGACTGAGCAGCCCGTTCTCAGACACTACTCACAACCATGTTCAGAACGCCAGCCTTCGGAGAAGCGTCGCTAGCTTTGGACCTTTTTCCATCCAATGCTTGGGTCATGCAATCCGACATGGGAGGTTCCCGTTGGGCCTCCCAAAATTCAATCGGGCGAGCCTTGGAGATCCGAAGGCAGCAACCACCTTGGAATTGGCAATCAGGTCTTATTACCCCGCCTATCCTGACTCCCTGACTCAGCTTTTGGGTGTATTTTGGCCTAAGATGATTGACCTCTTTCGGATCTTCCTAGGGACAACGCCACGCGGTAAGGCCCTCATCGAAAGGAGAACTGCCGGTGAGAAACAAGTCGAATTGGGATCCAGTTCCCAGCAGCATGCAAATTTGTTCCCACACTTTTTCATAGTCCAAGGATGTCGGATTCCTCCGCTGAACAATTGAATATGGCCGTCTTGGAAACAGGTGCGGCCGCCCTTTATATTTGGGTAGACCAATTTTAAACCAGGTTTTGATTGTTACTCACCTTGGCATGCCATCGCTGTCGATGGGGAAGAGCAGCACAAGACACTGCCAGCAGACTGCAGGGCAACATGCTGACTTCCGCGATCTGATTTCAGGGAGGGTGGATAGAGAGGTTCTACGATTGCACACGGAAAGATTGAGTTTGCGCGTTTTAATGGCGCTCACCCTAGGACATGCCTGTTCTCCGAAAGCTGCACTGCCGCGTGGGAGTGCAGCGTGGGAGTGCAGCTTTCGACGGTTTTTGAGGGGAATCGTGAAAGTCTTTGTTTGGTTTTGGAACATACAGTATACATGCCAAGCCAGCACCCCACTTGGGCAAAGAAACAGCCAACCGCGCCAGTGTTGGTCGTGACGAGGCAGGCCCATGCTTGAGGTGACCAAGAGCCTTTGGTTGTACACAGGGGTTTGTCTCAAAATGCAAGAACCCCCAAAGGGTTGATTTCCTTTTGGTTTCCCTTTAAGCCCAAACGGGTACCCTCAAGAGACTCGCCCATAGTTCTTCTTTGCGGCCTCTCGATTGTTCCTCAAATATGGCAGGGAGGGTGAGCAATAGGAATCGTTATGACCGTCATGGTATGGTAGAGGCAAACATCAGAAGGCCACCAGGGCACTGCGCTGAATCGCTTGGAGTTGAAGGACACCAACATGCCGTCAACAGTTTCAACTGTGAGGGGTCCTGCAGGCTTCGACGCAAAAAGGAAAGACATGGTCTCGTTTTTTTTTTTTTTTTTGTCTTTTCCCTAGTGCACTGGCATGAAAGATGTTCCATGCTCCCTGGAGGCGACCGCAGGAGGCATGCGATTGTATCCAGTAGGAGCGGTGCTTTCCGCCCCAAAGGGGCCGTAAGGGTAGGCACTGGCCGGGCCGCGGACAAAACAATGAGCGCTCTTGAAGCAGGTATACACTTCTTCGGACTTGAGGGTCATATGTGACGTTGGGTGGGGGGGAAGAGGGAGACAATCAATCCAAGTCTTTCCAGGTTGCTCAATCAGTCAAAGAGAGTTCTGGCCTGACTCCTGTTCCGGCGGCCTTCTGCAAGAGGAAAGACGCACTGTGGTCGCTGGCCCATGTGAGGTACTGGCAATGCTCTCGTGCTTGCGGGATGTAAGAGTCGCGCACATTGTGTTGGACAATCACGAAGCCCGGTAAAACGATAAGGTGCAAAAAAAAACAATAAGGTTTTTGGGTGTTTCCGTGTTGTTTGTGCTGGAAAACGATAAGGGAATGCACGTATTGCTAGCATTTTGCTCAATCTTGCTTGCTCCCTTTCCGTCCTTCCTGTTCACAACCATGGCTTGGAGCATTGAGACCCGGGAGAGGCTTCCGAGTCACGACGCTGAAAACGATAACAAAACGATAACAAAAACGACAACGCTTTTTGACAGAACCCATGCCCTTAAGGAGTTGCCCATTGAGAGGAACTTAGCCACTCTACCCTAGCTTTCCCTTTGATGTCTCCCGGCCATGGACAGCATACTTGTCTTTTACGTTGGAACATGTCTTGGACTCTACGTTGGAACACATTATTGCAGTTGATGAGCGCAGGCTAGCCAAACAAATTGAAGCAAGCAAGCGCAAACGAAAAGCATGGAAGGAGCTTGCTGCTTGTGAGTCCGACGAAGAAAGCCTTTGCAGCCACCATGAGAGCTGATGCGCGCAGTTGTCCAAAAATGCGCGAACCCCGGTAGAACGATAAGGTGCCAAAAGAAAACGATAAGGTTGAACATACATCTAATGTGTAAAACGATAAACTTTGACGCAAAACCGATAAGAAAACACATGTGCAGCCCATTTCAATTGAGGTTTTGCCGCGGCCTCATGTGCTGTTTCCGCGATCTGGCGCAGCAGGTCTTGGTCTGTTGCAAGAGTGGCAACGGACAGCGCCACGTTTTGGTGTGCTGGAATCATGGACGAAGACTCGAAGGACAGTGTGCTGTCTATGCGCTTGCGCCCAAGGTTCCCGGGAGGGCCGAAGGAGCGTTGGAGCTTGAACCTTGGAGCGTTTCACAGCTCATTCTGAATCGCCGGCCAAGTTTTTGCTTACATAGATGTACAAGGGAGTGGCCCCCTTTGGGCCAGCAAGTGAACTGGGTCTCAAGCTAAAAAACATGAAAGGGACCTCAGAGACTTGAGTGATTTCTGAGTCGTTCAGGCCTACGGACACGACCGTTTTGACGTCTTGATGCTCAGATATTTCTTCGAGAGGTACCTTCTGTTGGCCAGATCCATTGAGACGAAACTCCCCGCGAAGCCATGGCGGCGCGGCGCCAGGTGCTGGATTTTTAGGGGAACCTTGTGGGGAACAAAGCCATGCAGGGCAAAGGCGGCTTGATGTGTCGTGTTGGTCACTCCTTGCCATTTCAACATGTGTGTGTGTGTGTGTATGTGTGTGTGTGTGTGTGTGTGTGTGTGTGTTTGCTTGCTTTCTTGCTTGCTTGTTTGTTTGTTTGTTTGTTTGTTTGTTTGCTTGTGTGTTTGTTTGTTCTTGTTGGGAATCCTGTTCAGCTTGTTTCAAAGGGACGCCAAAGGGAAGACCGAACTCCTTGTTGGGGGTCTCCCCATGTTGACCCATACCCAGAGCTACAAATGGCCGGGAGAGCTGGTTACGAGCTTCAGATCTGGAGAAGCAGCGGCGCTCTCCGTTTCAGAAGCCGACGAAGGCTGCTTGGGCCCGGCCACTCGCGCCGCTTCGGCGACCGGCCGGGGGCCCAAGTCTCAAGATGCTTCTTTGGGGAGGCTCGGGCACCACAAAATGGTGGCTCTTTCAGGCACCAACCACCTTCGGGAGTGCAACATGTCAGGCTTAAAACAGGACCCTGATTTGAGACAACGTGATATATTTGGGGCTTGTTTTTAAGCGGCACTGAGATGGTGTGCTAGACTCTAAGAAATGCATAGTTCTCCCGAAGCCAGGATGAGAGGATAAGAGTTTGGGCTGTTTGGTTGTTTGATTTGAGTTGAACTGATGTCAATGAGCAGATGAACCTTGTGGACAGCGAAATCACATTTTGCCATTGCAGAAGTAAAGTTAATGCTTGTGAGATCATCCTGCGTACCTCAGCTCAGTGCATTACTCGGTGGAGCCCCTATCAAGCTGCAAATATGGTTTTGTCTCCAAATGGTGGAGCTCGTGAAATGGGCGGTTTGCTTTTGGTTCCCTTCAAGTCAACCCAAAACGGGGTTATCTCGGCAAAAGATGCCCATGTAGAGTGATAGAGGAGCCTTTTCATGTTTATCCACCAATCTGCCATTTTTTTGGGGCTTTCTTCTGACTAGACTTCTATTGCCAGGTCGGGTAGGGACACAAGGCCATGCCTGATAATTGCAGTAGATAGCACACAGTGTGATAACCAGCAACACTCAGTGGGGAATTATCTCAGACAATGTTTCTTTCTACTGAATCCTTTGTTGCTTCAACGCGCAACTGGGCAGCTTCATACACTTTCATGGCTTGAATTTCTGGGAAGATGGCTTCGCTTTATGTTGATCATCTGCCCTTCAGCTGTAATTCGCCTGGCTTTACTCTTGCAGCATCTAGAGCACGGATATGGTTTGAGAGGAAAACGGGGTCCCCCCCTGCTTTGACACATGCCCAAAATGAGTCCTTAGTGTGGGAGAGGGGTGGGGTTCATTTGGGCCTTTTCAATGGAAGCAGGCTGGACCTTGAATGGGCTTTCCCTCTTGCGGCTTCAGCTTTCCTTGCTGCTTTTGGGTGTCGCCCACCGTCCCATTCAGGCAAACCCCACTTCAGGGGGACCAGGCCCCGCCTACACCTTCCATTCGTTGCGCAAAGGTGTTGGGGCTGTGCCTCGCAGCAGCGGGGCACTCAGAATTGCCACTTTGTTGGTCTGATCTGTTTGCCTCGCGTGCTGCACGTGGGCGAGTTTCCAGTTTTTAGCTAGGCTGCAAGTGAGAGGTTTCACCGGTGTGAGATTGTTTCATTGCGAGGGTCTATCAGGTGACCCTGAATGTCGACCCTTGTTGGTGGCTGGGATATGTGACTTGCGTGATCAAACAAAGAGAGGGTCCAACTAACTTTCCAACCCTGCTTCTTCCTGAGCGGGCGAAGACTCCAAAGTAGCTGTGTATTCCGAACCACCTTCAGGAAGCTTGTGAGGTCAATTTGAGTTGAGCAAAAGATCATATCGACATGCAGTGATTGCTCATTTGCAGAGGTGCCATTGTTGTGAAACTTACGGCCAAACCGAGAAGGGGGCGCAAAGCCCCAATGCATGATATGCCACACGTCCGCCGTTTTCACGAGTCCCACCTC